GGGGGGGGGGGGGTGTATGAGTGACAGACTGACAGTAACAACTAGCCACTAGCTCTAATCAGGCTTTCAGAGTAATGCTCTAGCCCAAAGAGCCTTGTTGTGTGAATGCATATACACATGTGCTGGTGTGTGTATGTGTGTGTGTGCATGTGATTTGTTTACCTTGGATCTGAGCTTGCTGGATGTGTGTGTTTTGCCCCTGGTCTCCATTGAGCCACGGCTGCATGCGGAGGTATGGCTCTCTGCTCCTCTGGTTCAACTTGTTCCACGGTTTGTGTCGAGACAGACTGTCACTCAATATTCCCTGAAACACACAGACGAAGAATGGCTCAGACATGCAACCACTGTAGAGTAAAAGCACAGTAATAAAAACAGAGCAGGGCAGAAAATGCGTACACACACAAGCTCCCCTCACCTCTTTGGAGTCCTCCTGGTTGTGGTTCTCCTCTCCTGTCTGGCTTAGAACGGCCCTGCGAGGGTCTGTATGCATGTTGCTCCACCACTGCTCTCTCCAGTAACCCACTCCAGAGCTTCCAGAGCGGGCCGACCCCTCAGAGCTCCGACCCAGCCTGAGAGCTCCGTCAAGAGACATGTCGATCCCTGAAGAAGCCCTGCCCTCTCTCTTTATGTTGGAGCTGAAGTCCAGGATGGGAGACGGGGATGAGGGGGAGGACAGGTGGGAGCTGTGAGGCTTTTTGAGGGAGAGTGCCAGGGGGTTGTAAGGGGGGAGGGGAGCGGTAAGCGAGGAGCTCAGAAGGTCCCTCTGAGATAGTGATGCTGAGGAGGAAGACGAAGATGAGGCTTTGAGGATGGGCTCCAGTGCAGACTGTTGGGCCTCCATCTCTCTGCGAGCTTGCTCTAGGATGGAGCGGATAGCCTCATCTGATCCGCTGCCCCCGCCGCCTCCCACCCCGCCTCCACCCCCTCCTTTCAGTCCTGCATATGAGGGTTGAGCATGGGACAAGTCTGTTGTGGGAGGAGAAAAAAGGGGCAGCCATGAGACACACCGACAAACACTCACAGCCACAATGCATCATCTTCAACGCTGCGTGTCCGCTAGAGATGAGAGAAAAAAAAACTACGACTCACCAGCTTTCTGCACCTGCAGCTCTCTTTTGGCCTGCTCCAGAATGGACTTGATAGCCTCATCTGAACCAGCCTCTGGGGTGCGGACGCGGGCAGTAATGTTACCTGGAAAGAGAGGAAGAGGGAAAAGGAGGAGATGAGAGATCTTGTCAGATTAAGAAGCAGAGATAAGCAACTACAGAGCAGATGAAGAGAACAATACTGTATCCTATAACGACATCAAATAAATACACCATAGCACAGCACAAAGAACAACATTCCCACCACTGAGCTACGAGGAAACTATACTGGAGGGATTGTCATAATTTCTCTGGTCCCTTTGGAGCTCACACATGCACACGTGCTACAGGGTTCATACAGTAAATGCTCCCCACAGAATAACAACTACCAATAAAATCCCTAAATACACATGCTGGCTTCTCCTTTGACGCAAGTCTCTGGAACTGTGCGGTTACCTTCAAGGCACATGTATATCTGTATGCCTGCCCGCAAGTTAATAAACGCCAACTCACACACACACAGACGCGCGCGCACACACACACACACACACACACACACACACTGTAGATACAGTTCACCCCAACACAAACATGCCACACAGACAGAACGTGCTAGAATCTCTGTGTGTGAAGGGGACAGACCTGTGTGTGAAGCTGTATTGGAGAGGGCTCTCCGCTTCGGAACATCCTGAAACACTCGGCTAAGCTGGGGCTGGCCTGAGCCCTCTGTTAAAAACAATATACCACACACTATGTTACAGCACTTGTGTGTTTTTTCCCTTCCTTTTACAGCTAGACTACATGGTGCCCTATAATGCTCTGCAAATATATGGAATGTGTGGATACTTCCATCCAGTGCACATTATAGTGCCATAAATGCATTGATCTTAACCATCTGTGGCCCCAGTAGGAATCAAACCTCTACCCTCTAACAGGAATATTAAACTACTGCAAAGACAGAGTATCAAGGGATAAATTATTTAATAGGAAGTATTAAAAAGAGGCGTACAAACTACAGCCTTATTTTTAACACAGACTACTCTAGGACAAGGGTGGTTATATTTTTGTGTACCACTGAGACCACCTTCAATCAGAGATGTCCTGATGCGTTAACAAAAGCAGGCCCAGGCTAATCGAATCTACCCGTAGTTAATAGTACCCCTGCCTTCCTCCTAGTTCCCACCGATCAATACTATTGATGTGTGAAAGGTTTCTGCATTGACCACGATAGCTAGGAGAGGCTCTTGGGATCAGTGCGTGACTAGGAACTCACTCAAAACACACAGGTGTGGCACAGGATGGGAGTTAGGAAAGAGAAAGAAAAATAAAAAGCTAGTCCATATTGACAAGCTAATCAATGGCTCTGTGCAGGGCTGTACACATGCAAGACACACACACACACACACACACACACACGCACGCACACTCACATACGCACATAGACACATAAAAGACACACAGACTCACCTCTCTGCCGTCCCTGGATACTGCGCAGTGCGAGGATGTTCTGCTCATCAGCGAGGAACTGCCTCATCTTGTGGAAGGGCTCCTTCCCCCTGATGGTTAGCTTGTTCCACGGCTTTGGTCTGGCCAGGATCTCGCTGACCGAACCCTGGGACAGTCCCAACACGTAGTGGCCAAACACCCGCTGGCCAATGTTGTGCTTTATCAGCTGCTCTTTCACCTGTCGGGCAATCTCTGCCGTGTCCATGTCCTCCCCGTCCAATATACTTCCCGTGGTGGCGTCAGAGTGGCTGGGTGACGGGGATGGGGCGCTGCCAGCGGTGCTGCTCCCGTTAACAGGAGCCATGTCTGGGCTGGCTGGAGGCGGCTGCGGGCTGCTAGCTGCCAGAGGGATGGCAGCTGACCCGGAGCCAGGGGTGGAGGTAGGGATGGAGCTGAGGGTTGGAGTGAAGGGGGTGAACAGCAGAGCCCCACTGGGGATTCCAGACGACTCCTGCAAGGCTTTGGAGTAGAAGGTCTGGAGCAGCTGCCGCTGGATCAGGGAGTTCAAAGCCATCTTACCACCCACCAGAGGGAACACGGGGGAGTAGAAGTCCTGTCCAATGCCCGTAGGAGTGAAAGGGTGCGTTTCGCCACTGCTGGTGGTGGTGGTGGCAGTGTTGAGGGGGTCCGTATGAGTGCGAGACAGGGGGAGCTGGGAGAAGGAAGGAACAGAGGGAGGGGGAGGAGGGGGCGAGGAAGAGGGGTCGCTGGGTATGGTCTCCTCCTTCGGTGTGGGCTCTTCTGTCCCTTTTCGCCCGGCTGACCCTACAAGAAAGGTCAAACACACCATGCATTATGGGGGAGTCAACAAAAAAGGGGTTCCAAAAAAGAGAGAGAAAAAAAAAATAACAAAAGTTGAAAGTTATCTTAATCAAGTCTTTTCCAAATTAGTGAACTTTGTTTTCCTTTTTTGCCAACCCCCCCAGACAAAGTGCCCATGCATTTGTGATTTCAACCTTTCTTGTAAGCCACAGCCTGGAAGAAAAAAAAGGACAAACAAAACAATTGACACTGTGCCACTTAGGCAGATTAGCTTGGCCCAGGGCTCAGGCTCCCTCTCTGTCCCTCTCTCTTTCGCAGGCAAAGTGGTAGTAACTGGACAGGGCAAAATGATGTCCTTAGATAGCCAATACACCATGTGAGTCTTCTTCCATGCTGCTGCAGCGTGCTCCTAAACACTGAATTATTCCATTGTAGATGCAGTATCATAGTCTTTAGTTCATATAAGAATACATCCAGGAAAAAAAGGAGCAATAAAACTGAACTGAAAAACATTTTATGGCTGAACAGAAAACAGATGCATGTCACAAAAGCGGAGACTGTACAGCTCTGCTGCGTAAAGGCCCTTATTTCACTTCCTTCCTGAATTGTTAGACTGATTACATTTATACATTCACCAAAACAAACAGATGTAAACTATATTTCCTCAGTCGTGTAACTACTAGGATCCATCTTGATGGAAGCGCTAGGAGAAATATTATTCTAATGCATAACCATTGAAACCATAACATGATTGAGTAAGACAGTAAGCTCCCCTTACTGTGAATGTTAATCAATTCAAAGCTATTCAACTATTCAAGCCTAAAGCCATGACATTTCAAACCCATAAACACTGTTGCAGAGGGCAAGAGTCTTGATGTAGGGGCAGGAGTATGGTGTCCTCATTTTTTTGTGTACTGCAACTTTGTTACCATTCAGGTTGACCTCCTGCTGTGGTATTCAAAGACAACAAATATGCATTTCCTTCCTCGTCATGTGTGGGACTAAAGAAACATTTCTGTACCATGATATATTGTTTTGCATTTCTTTTGCATATCATGGACTCAATATTGCAAATCATTCCCAAAACATCAATGAATGGTTAAGTATTCTCAGAGAAAAAGAATGTATAGGCACACATGCAGTATGTATGCACTAACCTGATGCAAACTCTTCACAGCCTTACCTGCAGCTCAACCCTCGTCTAACCTCCAGTGAATACTGGACTCCACTTCTGCCGGCATTTTTTCATTTTCACGAAGACAGCCTGGCCAGTGTTGATGAACCCAGCCTGTACTATAACCTTACATTTGGACGGACTTACCGCTGAGCTCAGTGTTGGCAATGCGCAGAGCGGCGCTCTCAGATTGAAGACTACGGTTCCTCTCCAGCAGCAGCACCTCCAGAGGTTTGGATGAGTCCTGATGGAGGGGATAGGTGGAACGCAAATTAAAATGAGACTTTTCAAATGAATCAGGCTCCAGCCTCTACCTTCAAATGTACAATTTTATCAATAACTTAATTACTAGTACTGCAACATAAGACATTTTTCATAGTTTCAGCGCTGCAAGAACTAGGAACAATCGCAGGTAATTCCAAAACACCATTTTGAGGGACTTTTTTAGCTCTTATTTCAGAGTAGGTACTCTCCTTGCATAAGAGGAACCATGAGTGACTAAGCGTACAGCAATTGGTCCAGATTTAAGTGTATATTCACTGGTACAACAAAGCCAATGCAGCACCGGCAACCGCCATTTTTAAAAGCCATAACTCGTGTATAAAACAGACAATAAAAAACAGTGGAAATGCGACACAATTTTGACTCTTCAAAACTAAAGTGACGCTGCTGTACAAACCACTGTGCTCGGCCTACAGTACGTCACTTCAGCGTTTCCTTTGGTGCTGCAAATGCAAACAGGGAAAAGCCCTTGAAGGTATGTAGTTCTTAGGGAGTCCCTGTCACTGTTTAGTGTGAAAATGCCTATTATGTGTAGATAGACTGTAACTGTCACTTTTACCTGCACAGAGTCAGATGTTCCAAACTCCATAGATTTGAGGATACTGGAGAGAGAAAGAGAAAAAAAATCATATCAACCCCCTACAAACACACACACACACACACACACACACACACACACACACACACACACACACACATCTACAGTGTAGCATGCTGGCTTTTCTATTTCTGTCTCTTTAAGGACAAAGAAAGGATGGAGGAGCAGAGTGACAATATAAAGTTACAGACATACAAGCTTCACCTTCATAAGGGCACTTAATTGAGTTACACATCTTAAATGAAGACACGCATCTTGTTTAACATTGTCACAGACATCAAACGCATGCAATAAATAGATCTGTTCTGGACACACACACACACACACACACACACACACACACACACACACACAAACACACACACACATACACACACACAGTCACACTCGTCTGTGTGTGCTCCTCACCTCAACTCCTTCTTCACCTCCTCATAGTCAGCTTGCTTCTGCAGTTTCTCCTCCAGTTCCTGTAGATAAAGAGAGATTAAATGACGTGAAAATGAATTAAATAATAAAAGCAATCCTTGGATCTTTACATGTCAAGTATTTATTCCAGTGATAACAGAACAGAGAGTGTGTGAATACAGTTACAGGTGTGATCTGAATACACAACAAAGGAGGAAAAAAGACAAGAATACGGAAATAGTCTTAAGAGAAATTAATCGCTAAAATTGTTGAAAATAACTTAAGTCTAATGAAAAACAACACTCTACAGCCATGTGTTCTGCTGGTACCTTGAGAGTGGCAGTCTTGCTGCTGAGCTGCTGCTCCAGTTGTGTGATCTGGGAGCTGGTGGTCTCTCGGAGTTTGGTCAGGCTGGCCTGCAGTCTCTGGACGTCCTCCACCAGCTGGGCGGTCTCCCTTTCTTTGGCCCTGAGCTCCGCCTCCAGACTTGAGTGGGATGCCACCTCCGTCTGCTGTTCCTAAAGGTTAAACAGGACGGCAGTTTAATCTAATGGGTAAAATAAAACCTATATAAGTATTCAGTAAAACCACCCACCTTCAGATAAAATCAATTAAGCCTCGTTTCCACCAAGCAGTCTGCTTCAGTTCAGACATTAGAGCGGTTATTTTTGCATTTCCATTGTCAAAAGTGAATGGTGCCATTATTTTTAACAGTTTCATTCCGTCCCGGATTTTCGTCAACCGTCTGATGAGGTTCCTAGAAAGGATGAACTAGAACGACTGTAGTCCGCTGATTGGTCAAGAGAAAATGGTCACCCTTGTTCTGAAGGACTCAACGCACAAATGATTTATTCTTAAATACCACATCGTCTGCAACAGAGACGGTAAACACTCTAGCCTGTTCTTTTTCAGTCTTAAAATGCCAGCATGTAACCCCATCCTGTGAATGATCAGCGAAATGCAGATGTTCCTCTGTGTTGCCAATCAAGAGAACATACAGTGGAGCAGCGACACGGCTACTGCTATCTGGTAACAACCTAGATTCATAGGTACTGTCTGCAGTGGAAACGATAAGCAAATCTAGGGTTTAGGTAGATGTCCATATGGGTTGCGTACTGGTCTGATGTACCTAAAGCATTTGGTGGAAAGGCAGCTTTAGTCAATACAGCAATCAGAAAGAGGCTGATCAATAAAAGGTCTCCTCTTTTAGATGAATAAACAGAGGTAATCAATCAACAAATGACAACAACCCATCACTGACTGATCAATGAATCAAATACTTTGGTGTGGCAGTCACCATGATCAATAAATCAGTTAATCAATACACCAATCAACTAGTGCCACCGTGGCAACCTTTCCTTGGAAATCAATCCATCTGTCAACAAATCAATGCATCTTTGGTGACTTCAATGCCTGACCTTTAAAATCAATGACGACAGTAATCAATAAATTGAATCTGTAATCAGCCGATCACCTCTGGCATCAAAAGGCCAGGCTGATCTTTAGCCTATCAATACCTCTCTGTCCACCCTGCAGTAAATCAGTGAAGCAGTGAAACATGTTACCGTGTCGGGGTCGGCCTTGGCCGGGCTGCCAAGCTGCTGGGATTGGTTACTCGAGGCCAGCTGCTCCCGGAGCGACTCGGTCTCTCTCTGAGCTGCTTCTGCTCGCTGGAAGGAAAAGAGAGAAAAGTTAAAGACAAACCAACACATGTAGATTCTTACACTGTCAAACATGATCAATCCAACGGTCAATTCAGTGCTACTGTTTTACGTTCTTTTTATTTTTGTGGAGCACACGTTTCCTCAACTGGTCTCAATTTTCCGGTAGAACATTTAAAAACCTTCTTAATACATGCAGACAGAGAGTGCAGACTGTTAAAGGAAATAGTAAGGCCAATAAAGCAAAAGCTCCTCCTGTTAAAAGTGCCCCTTAATCAACGCACAATCTGGCTTGTGGCAGCAACTTAATGGTCTTTGGAGGATGATGTTGTTGGTGATGAACCGTAACCAATAATTATCTCAACATCTTTCTTCAGCTCAAGAATTTTTATGCAAAGTATACGGCTGGATTTACAACACTGCACAAGCGTTGGCCATTCCAGAAAGGCGATGCGAGCGAAGACATTAAGTTTTCACATAACACCCTCTTTTTCTACCAGCCGACAAGTAGAGGAAGTCCACCCCCTTCCAGCAGACACAAACATATACTTCAGAGTGGAGGAGGGCAAGGAGAACGCAAAGTGTGGGATGATGGCAGACGGTGGATTTTCCCTTAATTGAAAATATTAAATTAGTGCAGAGAACTGAGATGATACCCGCTGCCTTGTATTTATGGCCAAACTGCCATGCTCCAGTTGGGAATCATCTGCAACACTGGCCAACTTGCCATCATTAGGAGTTACAGGGAGCCGATTCCACAGTGTTCCTAATTGCAACCATATTGAGAGCTGTTATTGACTGGGTGGGAGTTGGACTGCGAGTCGCAAGAGAAAAATCCTGTTTTCCATTTTCTCCTTATAAACGCGTATAAAAAGTCTGTGACTGAGCTGGAGGCCATGCTGTCATCCTCTGTAAACCTCAAATCAGAAGTGTGAATAGTGTGTGTGTGTGTGTTTGTGTGTGGCATTATAGTTGGAGCTCTAACCTTTAGGCTAATATTAACATTACATGCCTATGCTACCCCTTTAGCCACAAATCATACTCTTGGACTAATAATGAAAGTTAACAACAATGACATTAACAGATACCACAGGAATATTTACAACACAGGGGCAGAGGGCACGCTGGGGGGCTTATTTCAGCTGGATGGGTTTAGTAGGTGTGTAATAAACATGTAAAACAAACAGCAGCCCTCACAGTGATAAGCAAGTCATTATTTGTTAATGTAAGCCACATTTCATGGATTCGGAGCGGATAAGAATGTTTTTATTTTAAAAGAATAAGGCTGGTGGTGTTTAATGTTTTTGGTTGTGTAGAGAAATCTCAGGAAAAAAACAAACAGCGTGTTCATCCATTACTCAATACAGCGCTGCAGGGGTGACATTTTTTTTGGTTGGCTGACATGGAACTTGTTTCCCTCGACAAAGAGCCAATGTAATTTTTCCAGTGGGTTTTGGATAACTGCGAAAAATAAGCTCTGTTGCAAACAAAAGTTTTTTGTTTTGTTCAGCAAGATAACATTAGGAAATGAATTTATTCTATTTTTATGATTTTTGAAGGGTAAACGCAATGCCCAAAAGTAGAAAGCTAACACTGTAAAGACTTCAGATGTGAGCTTCTGTGAACAACAGACCTTATTTCAGGCACCTAACCAAAAACCCATTCAAAAACCAATTGACTACGAGTCGAGGGAGCTAAAAGTACTATAATGCTAACTTGTTTCCGAGTTTAGGACTCACTCTTGGAGCACTTCACACTTTCCTAGCATCTCTCTTCAAACAGGGTCAAGAAAAGAAAAAAAATTTAGAAAAAAGCTAAATATTTTCCTAAAACAGTTGAGCACTGTGTTGTTGTTTTTTTTAGCAAATGTTACTCAAACAGAAGTAAATACTGCATTTGTTGGGGGCTATTTTCAGCCGCAGATTAGTACATAATTGGTGCTCTAATGAATATTTACAACAGCAAGATAATGTATGTGGGATCGACTTAAAATAAACCACAGTTCCCATGTTCAACATAATGAAGGAACATGTCACTCAAAGCAACTCCGTGGCTCATTGATGTGTTTTTAATAGTTTGTGAAGGATGACAGAGCTTTATGGCACAGAGGAATAAGCTGTATCTGGCTTTGTAAACGCAGACGATACTTGTAAGTAGAATAAATTATTGTCGGTCTTGACCTTTTCATGACATTTGTTGACAGGAAGGAATATACAGAAATTTACAAGACTAGATCCTGTAAAATAAAATGTACTAACATCAGTATTGAAACACTTTTTTTCTATGCAACTTTTTTAACAATCTGTATTTCAGTAATAAAACTTGCTGAGCCTGGTGTGACGGACGATGCCGTGTAAAAATGTTAGGTTATGATGTCGAGCGGATTACCTGATTGGCTCTTTCCAGGTCTGTCATCACCATCTCAATCTCATCGGCCCTGAGAAAGACATTTACTGTTACTACAGAGGATGTGACAGCGCTTTTAAGAGACTGACTGAAATGCAGCACACAAATAAAAACAAGGAATGGATAAATGGATAGATGAATCCCAGGAAGAAAAGTACACTGTGCACACATCACATGTGAGTGTGTGTGTGTGTGTGTGTGTGTGTGTGTGTGTGTGTGTGCGCGACTGTTCAGAGAAAACACATTTAGAGAATGCCGGTGCCGTGCCCATTAAGCTACTGTCTAAATTTCACCTTAATCCATTGATTGTGAACTCCATAACCCAAACAGCTTGAATGTGTGCATGCATACATGTATTTAAGTGTGTGTGTATGTGTGTGTGTCTGTGTGTGGGTGTGCACATGTAAGCCCCTAAACCCAGGCCACACTAAAACAGAGGGATTACATTAATAGAGCTCTAAGTCCTAATACAGCAGACTAATCTGCTATGAAGCTGTGTGATTGTGTCTGACTAATGGTCTGGATGGGGGCCATGGTTCACCTCTCACTTGCTAGAGGTCAGACAGCAGGAACACATCCCCATAATACCATATCTTTTTGGACTTTGGAAAAATATTTTAACGACCCTCGTTCATGAGATACCTGTCACTTTGCGGCAAACAATGACAGAGATCTGGAGGAAACTTTGAGGACAAAACAACGCCGAACACAGAAACACAATGAACGTTATTTTTTGTAAGACATGCAGAAATGATTATGGTTATACACTAGAGCTGCAACGATTAATCGATCAGCTGTCAACTATTAAATTAATCGCCAACTAATCTGATGATTGATAATCAGTTTGAGTAATTTTTTCCAGCTTCTTAAATGTGAATATTTTCTGGTTTCTTTATTCCTCTGTGACATTAAACTGAATATATTTGGGTTGAGGACAAAGCAAGACATTTAAAGACATCATCTTGGGCTTTTGGAAACACTGATCAACATTATTCACCATTTTAAAAACCAAACAACTAATCGATTAATCGAGAAATGAATCAGCGGATTAATCCACAATGAAAATAATCATTAGTTGCAGCTCTACTATACAGCATGTCTAAAAACTGACTTGAAAAAAATTATCACCTTCACTGTTAATTAGTTGTCACAGCGTGTTTCTGAGCGAGCCCCAAGGTACATTTTGAAAACAATTCACCAAATGAGGGTGTCACAATAAACAAATGCATGCAAATCCTCACAACACTCCTCAGTTGGTGTTGAATGCAGTGCAAAGTCGCAGTGTGTATGCGTGATGTTTAAGACATTACTTGCTGATAAGAATACATGGGCGGCGCTGAGTGCAAAGACGTGAGCGCATATGTGCACTGCTGCGTCCATTAAGACCTTTTGATTTCGCTGCAATCTTTTGACAGTGAACCCAATAACCCACGCAGCTTTTGTATTTGTGTGTCACAGTATGAGAATCAGTGTTATGTCCCATAGGCTTGAGTACTACTGATTTGAATGTGTTTAACAAAACAGACACAGTTGATATTAGGTCAACATTGTGCCACAGGCGATGCAGCAAAAAGAATCAGATGTGGGTGGGAGAGCTTTTCACTCTCCGCTTTTATTCTTTCCCTAACAGTTAAAAGGATCTAGTATGCATTTAAGCAACATAATAGTACACTACCTCACCAGCTTTTATCCTGTCTTAAGCTATAGTGTGCAGGACCCACGTGCGCGCTCGTCCGCGCTCCCGCACACACACAAATGTGAGGTCAGAGAGCCAACAAGCCAGAAAAGCTTGTAATGGAGAGCGTTTATGGGTAGTAATGCAACCCAAATACACCACTGCTCCTGCTCCAAATGTGATCATTTAATCAAAGTACAGATGCACAAAGTCTTCTTAAATAACCTTTGGATTTGGCTGTATTTGGGAATTATAAAGGCAAAGCTAGAGGCTGAGGGCCAAAGCAGATCACAGGGAAGGGATTTTCTGCATATCCTGATACAGTCAGTCAGTCGCTGAACAGGGCAGGAACTGTCCACAGCCAGCCAATGCACCCAGTGGAATTAATTCATCAAACACTGAACAGTAAAGGGAGGGTCCTTGGTAATGGTAAATCCCAATTTTAGGCCACCAAAACGCACCTACAAAGCTCTGTGTAGCAGCCACAGGGAGGAGCCATAGAGTAGATGCACAGCTGTACGGGCAATCGCATCCATGCACACAAACACCACACGCTCACACACACTCTTTTGTACCATGAAAGCCAATGGGTGCACCCAGTGACATCAGTGAGTACTGTAGGACTTCTGAAACAAGCCCAGAGCCTCTAAGCCCCTACTGTACTTCCTGCATCTCAGACAGGCCTTTTCATCTCTTATCATCTTCTCTCTCTTGCTCCTCACTCAACCGCTCCTTTTCTTTTCCACCCTCTGCCTGCCTCTATCCTTTTCCCCTCAACCCATTCCCTTCCCATTGCCCTCCACTTTTTCTCCTTTCATCTTTTTTTTCTCCCCTTCCACCTCCCCTCTCTCATCTTTCGCCCTCTCTTTCTCGGCCTCTGTCCTCGGTGCCAGCAGGATATTCCCCTGATTTAGATTTTCATTTCCCTCCTCTATCACACTCTTATCCCCTCTTCCTCACTGTAGCCTCCAGCCCCTGACTTGCTTTTTGCCCTCTAGCTTTCATCACTCCATTCCTTTTCTTTCCTTGGCTTTCTCCACATTGCGTTTTCACAGCGTGTTACCTTGGGGATTTCAAGGAGGCTTAAAAAGAAGCTAGCTGTGAGAGTGTGTCTATGTGTTTGTAATGTTGTGCGCCATTTTGTGTTTGTGTGCACTGGAGATGGACACAGGGAACAGTCAATAGGCTTTTCTTTCCTAATTATCAGCAATTAAATGGTTTTCCTAAAATGGTATCAAGCCTTTATACACAGATAAAGCCACACACAGAAATACAGAGGAGCATGCACACACACACATACACACACAGCATCCTATGGGGCTGGGGATCAATATATCATTAATCTTTAACAGGGACTAAACGGGTAAAACGCGGCCAGCCAGACCCTCACAGCGCCAACACAGAGAGGGGGCTACGCTACATCTGCAGGCCCGCCTCCCGCTGAAGCTCACACACCCCGGGCACTGCAACATCGACCAAATTCTCAGGGAGTGTGTGTACGTCAGTGTGGGAGTGTGTGTACGTCAGTGTGTGTGTGTGTGTGTTAGTGTGTATTTTAAAAGGCAGATTACCCGAATGCAGCAAGAGGATGGGGGATTTGTCACGCAATGTCCTCCTTAGTGGAAAGTTTAGAGCAAGTGTGTGTATGTGTGTGTGTGTTTGTGTGGAAAAAAGTGCATGATATGTATGGCGTTTGTGTTTTGCAGGGCCAAAATATATGCAGTCAAAGGGTTAAAAGTTGTGTTCAGCCAAACACTGGCGATTTGCTCAGCCAAGCAGTAAACGGGGGAAGGACTCCAAGGACTGGGAGGGTGCAGGGTTAGAGAGGGTTTGTGTGTGCTTTAAAGCGTTGCATTAAAATTTCAGATCACAGCACGCCACATAGTCAAGGACCCTGACTGCCTCGGGCTCACGAGTGAGTGAGTGTGTGTGTGTGTATTTGTATGTGGATGTGTGTGTGTGTGTGTGTGTGTGTGTGTGTGTGTGTATGTGGGCCGGCATGTGTTTATTAGCTTCTGTAAGCAAATGGGGCCTACTATATGTGTCTTTTCAAAATGTGTTTTCTTCTGACATAAAAGGAACAGACAAGGACGGAAAAAAAGGAAGAAGAAAGTGTAAAGAAATGAGACAAAGCAGAGGAGCATTGAAATATAGTCACGGGGAAAGCAAATATAGAGGAGGAGGGGGAGCTCTGATAGACTATGAAACCTATTGATTAGTGCCATTACACTGCGTGCAATATCTTCCTGTCGCCTTTCCTCTTACACTCGCACACGCACAATGCAGGAGATAAAAGACAAAGTGTGGGAGCGAGGGAGGTAGAAAAGGGGGGAAAAAAGTATTGTGAGGAAGAGAGAAGAGGGATCGATCTGTTTTTAACAGCCAATCAATTTAACAACTCTGTTAATGGAGAGACACAGTGAGTTTGGGGCAAGGTAAATGGGGTGGGGGGAAAACCTTAAAAGCCAAGTTGAGACTCTGCCGTACTTTGTGTGCACGGCGCACGCAAGACGTCCTTGACCATTTTATCAATAGTCTTGAATTTTAAGAAAGAGTTCATGTTAGGAAAGTGCAATCTGTTTTGTTTTGGTTTGCAGTACACCAATTACCAATAAAACACCATGAAAGGCTTTGTTTTTCTTCTCAGAATTTTAAGCTTTCTGAACGCTGGTTTGGGTGCTCGAGTGGTTCTGGTTCCCGCTACTCACCCTGGGGGAACAAAGAGTGTGAATGTCATAAAGTGCCACTTCACAGCAAAGAGTGCTGACATGGAAAAGCTTCTGTTCTCATCCTTGCCACCACTATAAGATCGATAATGATAGATGCCCACAGCTCAAGTAATTGAAGCCACCTTATCTTACAGGTCCTGTTAGAAGCCTGCGTGGCTTTTAGTCAAGAGATCTCAAAGTGACCCTCGTCAGCCTCTCCTCTCTGGCATGACCCTGATGAATCACACAGTGCTTTAGCCTCCACCACAGACAAAAAAAAAAATCACTATTTTGGTGCTTGCTGTGGCTGCAGAACACATTACAATCCCTGTCAGTATTTACAGTGCGTGGGTAATGCTGGGATTTGGAGGCTGCTGAGCGTTGTGGGAGACAATCCAGCTGTTTAGGAGAGAAGGGGGAGTTTCCAGGCAAGGAGATTCACTAAACAGGATGATTATGTCAGGAACAGACTATGGAGGAGCCAGAGGGGGAGAAGTCACCCGCAAACACACACATAGATCACCGAGACACGTACTTTGCTGTGGATTCCTCGTCATACTTGGTCTTCAAATCAAAGAGCTCGGCCTGAGTTGCTTCAAGTGCTGTAAAAGACAGGAAAAGGGTCATTGTGAGAAGTTGTAAGTTTCCCTGCTACAAGTCAGCGTCAGCCCTCAAATGAAGAAGTCATTTTCATGTATGAACAATACTTAATGCCCTAAGGACATATTTCAAGACCAAAGGCAACTGCTCTTTTGCTGTCCTAGGTCCGAGACTTTGGAACAATCTCGCCTCTCCCATTGGATCAGCTGACTTTCAGAGCTGCCCTAGGTGGCGATGAGTTGCTAAAGGATTTTTGTTTTAGTATGTGCCTTATGTTTGTATGTATCTGGATTATTTTGTCTTATATGAAGTTGTGTGTGTATGCATATATGTCCTTTTTATGTGTGTGTGTGTGTGTTTATATGCATCTTACCACTCTATATATATATTTGTTTTATTAGTTACTTTAATGTTTCTTACACTGCTTTTTTATCTGTTTTTATTGTCTTGTGAAGCACTTTGTTACATCTGTTTTGAAAAGTGTTATATACATACACTTACTAATAATTAATTAAGCTTACTGCTACAATTTTTACAGTTTCCTGACAAAGAAACATTTTTGTTGTTTAATGAGATATTTCTGTATTTGTTTTGTTGTCTGTGCTTTTCTCACTGGCCAGATGTGACAGTTATTTGTTATGTTGCTAGGCCAATTTTCACTGTGATCGAACCACACCCATCGAGTCAAGATGAAGCAGATTAAGGTTCTGAGTTTTCAATTTCACATGAGATGGTTATCCCCAAACATTACCAATGAATAAACATCCAATGAGAATTACTTAAGATTTGAAACCCATCTTTTAGAGGCTTTAAAGCCGGCACCACCTTGAATTCAATAATAAGGCTGCCATTTTATCTGAGCTGGTTACAAGTCTATAAAGACTGAGTAGGCTGGTACCTGTCTGTAGGGACTGGGCCTTGTGTTCGGCCTCTTCCAACCTTGAGGACATGGAGTCCTGGCTCTCCTGGAGTTTCCTACAGAGGCAGACAGAAGGAGAGGAAAAAGACAGGCAGGAGCAGAGAGTCACAGATAGAGATACTGAGTCAGTAAATCTTGGGTTCACACTTTGTGGCAACTGCAACTATTCTCTATTTTCCCACCATTTCTGAAGTGTTTTCCCCACTAAAATCCTCCCAACACAACCCACTCCTCATTAAGCAGCCCTATTAGGCAGGAATGTCTGGCCACTGGGGCACACTACACCCGGGGGGAGAGAGAGGGAGAGAGAGAGAGCAAGGGTTGAGTAAGAGAGGGGGGGAGGGGGCGTCAGAAACCACAAGGATAAAATAGATTCATTCTTAGCATATAAAAAGTTGGGCTCTGCTGAGAAATTGCCACTGCGTGTAAAAACATCAATAATCTAGCACAAAGACGGTCTTTATGGCACTCTTTGATGCCCCCCTTCTCCGCCAATCTGTCTCTCCTGTCATCTCTATTTTTCTGCCCTCTACTTCATCCTTTCATCTCTCTCTCGCTTTCCCTCCTTCCCTCACTCCTTGCAGGATAAAATGCATCAGAGGTGCCATCCATTTACTGGCCCTCTCAGACACAGGAAGTCAGCTCTCTGCAGACAGGAAGGGGCCTATAAAACACTGACGTAAAGGAAATACAGTTGGACAATTGATCTTCTGCTGTACGTCTGAAAGGGGCAATGAGCTCTAACTCAGCAAACAAGATGATTGACAAGAGGGGAAATATGGGCTCTGTAATGTACGTTTAATAAACACAAATCTTACAAATCAACATAAAGTGGGCCAGAGATTTTCATCAGAGTGATGTCTGAGAACATTTCTTCAATAGTCTTTTAATAACTGCAGTGGAGTGAAAAAATATCAGCAGCATTTGTTGGCAGTGGTTTGTACTTTAGAATTAAAGCAGAATATGATGCAACTAAAAGAATGTAATTTAAACTACTTATTTCTCTTTAGAAAAACTGAAAGTGACATAAAACTTTTTGATATGCAGGTAAAAGTTGCTGAAAAGGGTTTGCACATTGTATCCAAATACTGCTAAGAGATCAACCACCACAGAGGAAGTAATTTCCTGTGTTACAAAATAAATAAATAAACTGATGCAGTGGAAAAAAATGGGAGAATATCTCCCACTTCCTTTTTTTCTTTGAAAGGACATTTGTAGCCTACCATAATATATCATTATTAAATCTGCATGGTGGAGTGCGGTGAGGCTCTGGACATAGAGCAGGTCATGCACTTATTGGAAGATCAGTGGTTTGATCCCTGGCTCCTCTAGACCACATGTCAAAGTGTCGTTGGGCAACATACTGAGCCCCAAATTGCTCCCGATGGCTGTGCCATTGATGTGTGAATGTCCGACAAACTGAGTAGCAGGCGGCACCTTGTACAGTAGCCTCGGCCATCAGTGTGTGAATGCGTGTGTGAATGGGTGAACGTGACTTGTGTATAAAGTGCTATGAGAAGTCGGAATACTAGAAAGGCGCTATACAAGTGCAAGGCCATTTACCATTAACAGTAAAAAATGCACATTAAAGGTACACTAGGCAGGATTGTCAGTTACTGTTTGTTATTGCCAACGATAGTGAAAGTAAAAGCCAATCCCAGATTCATTCTCATTTTTCGGGTGCTGTGTCCCTTGGATGTCTGCTGCTTACAGTCTGGTACCTGGTCGCTACCTTTATATAAAGCTCACCTGAGCGCTGCAGAGGTACAAGCCCATAAACGACAATACGGCAAAGATAAGAACATACAGGCAGAGAGCAGTGTCTCTGTGGAAAAATACGCTGCAATGCAATTCCAGTGGGTCATAAGTGTGTCTATGCCAGTGGTTCCCAACTGGTGGGTTGCTGGTCCATTCTGAATGGACCACAAGTGACTCATGAACGTGTCAAGTTTGTAAAAAACACACTTTATTTTAAAGTATAGTGAATGTCCTGCACAAGCTTTTATTTTGAAGTGCCATTATTTGCTGTAGAGTTTGTGAATAACGGACAGCTACTGAACAGAGACAGCAAACAAGCTTGAGGACATGGCCAAACCAAGTATGATGCTGAATATATTAACCTTTGTGAATAATGAGTAAGGAAAAATCTGGACCCCGTGGCTGGACCAGTTGGAAACCTGGTCTATACAACTTTTTTTTTTTTTTTTAGGAAAAGCCAGCATAGTATGTCTTTAGCATTGTGTTGTTGACCTCTACTGGCTGTACTGAACTCTCTATTAGTTTTAAGACTTTTGGCAATGCTGGGTTTCCTAGTTAAGAAGCATTTTTGGGTTTGACAGGTCCATCACAGCCTTTAACTCCTGCTCACCCTCACTGCAAATGTGCTGTCTCTTTAAGCCCTGAGGCTGCACCGGCTAGTCATATGAGTGCTCATCATCTCTCCTCAACCCTGCACACGTTTATTTATCCTCTTTCATTCTAAATAGGAGCACACAGTTATCCGAGATAACTACATTTAAGGTTGAAGAGTCAATTCTCCACCTGCATTTGAAAGACTGAACTTCTTGTGGATTCACATGATCATTTAAACTGGCCACCATCATATTAATCTGAATTTACTGGGAGACGCAGGAGGAACTGTGCCCAAGACTGTTTTTAAGTTAACAATGTTATAGCTGCCTTCATCTTAATGTTGAATGGGCTCCTTCCTGGCAAAGGACGCTATCAGAGTGACTCATTTGAGCCTTTGTAAGAGTTAATATATCATCTTAGTAGTCGGCATTGTTTTTTAATGTTCCTTAAATATCTGGCAGCAATTTTGAGCTTATTTATTACTGCCACAGGCTTCCTGTGTATCTGAAAATCACACACATTAAAGTGGGTTTGGAAAGGAAGTAACCTATTAAATCAAAATGAATTACTTTGTATCAAAATAAAGCGACACCTCAGCATAATCTTTGTCATTATATAGTAATTTTGGTGGGTTTCATCCAGTAACCGTATATTTTCAGACACAGCAGATGTCTGTGGTGGCAATTATTCTAACAAAAAAAGCTGAAAGATACTGTGGTAAAGACAGAAAATAGGAGTCTGAGGTGTTGATTCCCATCAAGAGAAGAATGGCAAGCACCCACATGACAAAAATGCTGGCTTTGTCTTTTCTGTATTTTCCATTCCTGCATTCTTCCGTAAAAGGGAGGGCAATGTCGGGGAAGCAATAAGCAGCAATTTGTTGATTAAACTGATAACTATGAGAAAAAGTCCAAGGACTATTAGCTGAGGAGAAATAATTAAGTCGTGAATAGCTCTGCTGAATAAAGGCAGAAGTCTGATTAGAATCATAGCAGGTCTGCCTACAATGACCCGAAAGGCTTGACAAAATAATGCAGAGGTTGTTACTCTGCGCAATTAATCGACACATTATCGAAACCGCAATATGGCCAAGTGCAATATCCAAATCACAGCAGCTGCAATTTTTGGATCAAGATAAAATCTGTCACAACATATTGTTATAAATGAAGTACTGTGAAGCTACAGAGAAGCCCAGTTATACCTTTCCTTCTCTGCATAGTCGTTGTGTAGCTGGAGCTGCTTCTCTTGGGCCAGGTTCTCAGCTTGATTCTTCAGAGACTGCTCGTACTCGCGGATCTTCTCCTTCAAGGCCTTGATGGTCACCTCTGGAGGAGGAAGAGAGTCGGACGTCATGAGAAAAGAGAGGAAGAGTTAAAACACGGGCAATTTGCAAAATATATAGACAACAGACTACAGCGGCTTCCAAGACGCGATAAATGGCAGTGATGACGATAATGCTTCTGATGAGGGGTTTGACCTTTGCTTAAGGAACAGCGTTTCATATCCTACATTCTTCCTCTGTCAGCACAGACGAAAGGCCTTGGCCCCTATGGCTCCTGCTTAATCTTTACATCCATGACTGGTATAGAATATTCAGCGTTCACCAACAGTAGATATGCTGTATTCATTAGGACTGCATTAGTGCTGAAACCCCATAACCTGCTGACGGCTGAGCTCTGTATGGGGCAGCCTGAAATAAATCTAACACATAACTGGGGTAATAAATAGGCCTCCATATGTGTGTGTGCGTGTGTGTTTCTCAGAGAAAGATATAAGTGAGTGAGACAATGATAAAGAGCATTGCTGCTTGCCGCCTTTGACTGAGGGCTCTTAGCACTTTGTATGTGTGTGTGTGTATGTGTGTGTGTGCGTGTGATTTAAACTCCAGTCTCACTGCTCTGACACATAATCAATAGAGGAGAGTCCCCTCAGAGCCCTCTTACCCCTTAACTGCTTAACTGAACTTTAAACATTTAGGTTGCGGGGATCAATGGCCATTGCACTCTTTTGTATGTGTGTGTGTGCGTGCGTGTGCAAGTGTGCGGGCAGGTCGGCGTGTGCGTTTAACAGGAGTGGGAGTTCCACAGTGTGTTTTGGGGTTTAAATATCCCCCATCTATTGAGGCGGGAAGGAGGGATAAAGGATGAGGGAACAGGAAAATCAATGGCAGAATGGAACCCTGCCGCTATCGAGCTGTTCCAATTAACTCTCACTGAGGAAAGGGGGATTCCAAAACATTCCCTTCTCGCTCGCTCACTCCTCTTTTTCAACTGAAATTACACCACTTTTATTACTCCTTCTCACTCATCTCTCTGCCTCTGTCAGTTTTTCCATCTTTCTTTACCCTGAGGTAGCCTGTCGTTTTTTATTCATGAAACTGTGCCTCGTGTTTTTTCCCCCTGAAAATCTATTTGAAAATGTAAAACCTTGTACAATTTTTGTGTTTTTGAAAAATTTATAAGGCATTAAAATATGTTCAAATGTGGCCTCTTCCTTTGAAGAGGCCTTCTAAATATGTTGCTTTGACCTTATATTTGCACTTAAAAGTTCATCAGCTTGCAGACATTACGGTGAGGTTACCTTCGAGCATAGGAGAAATGGCTTCGCTGCAATTTTTCTCTTTGCACATTTTTCATTTACACGTTTCTACCTTTTACATTTAACAGTGTGGAATTTCTCAAACTAGCAGCAGGAAGAAAATCTTAAAATAATTACAACATTACATCTTTTGTTGTAGCTTAACTGTAAAGTTAAAAAAGGCATCTACTTTTGTACAATATTTCCATCTGACAGTGATTACTTGAAACTGCATTTTTTATGACAAATCCAGTCTTTACACTTTCGCTCAAGGTCTGTATGTTCTTCTTTTCATTAATCTATTCTTACAAGGACAATGCTAAAGGTGGGGAATTTGCATTACAGGTTGTTCCACATGGGATGTATAAAATGACTATTTTGTGAAAATAAGGCACAAATTGTCAGATCATTTTTTAACCCATTGGCACAAACGTGATACCTCACACACACTCCCCCGCCTATCCAGACTACTCTGCTGGGTGACAGTGTGTGAGGCGAAGTATGTGTTTTAGTATCTACTGGGCTCCAGACCACGACCATTTAGTCTGATTTTGTGACCATGGACCACCAGTGTGACTTTCAAATATTAATATATGAACTGAAGTGTTGCTTGTTTCCCGCTCACAGTGAATAAATCCTTACGTCTAATGGTGCCGCTGTAACTGTTGAACTTTCTGCTAACATCTAAATGTTGGCCGGAACAGGTCCAGTCCAAGCCGAGCCTGGTTTTTCAGAATAAAAGCACCAGTGGTTCCAGTTATTACATTATAACAATATTCTATCAAACGTTATTATAACAGTTCTGAAACTTTATTTAAAATGGTATTTTATTTTATATCAATACTTATTTTACTTTATTATAAGAGTATTTTAATCAACATAATTGTAACAGTACTTCACATAAATATTGAGATGTATATTGTGTATCAAGATACTGCCGAAAAATATCAACCAGCCCTAGACAATGCCCATTGTTCAGCATCACTGTAAAGATGCCAGTGTTATCTAAAAGGCTGTTGTCCTTTGGCCAGATGTTAAATTACTCATTCAAATACCAACATGCGTATGTAGTTCTTTCTCAACAGAGCAGCCTGCTTCACCATATCAGTTTTGTTTCGGTCACATGGGTGCATTCTGCACATTAAGTGGCTATAAATATAACTTTAAAACACTCCTGAACTACAGTAACACTAGTAGAGGTATATGAAATTTTCCTACGTGCTTATCTATGATTAATTGTGTGCCCTACATTCATGCTCCTCTCAAAGTCAGAAAAATCCCAAACTGCGTGCCTTTGCATGTATCCTGTCTCTAACCTTGGTTTTTGACCTCTGCAAACTCTTTGTTGTAGTCCTCCAGTGTCTCTCGAAGTTTGGTGTTCTCTGTCTCAATGTCGTGCATCCTCTGGAGCTTCAGCTGCAGCTGCTGAGCCAGCTCCAGCACAGGTACAGGATCTGGCAGAGACAAAACACACCACATTAACACACTGCAAAGCAGATTACACAAACAAGGGTGGCAAGGTGGCGTTGCAAGCTAGGAATAACTACATTCAAGGCCCTGTGAGAGCAAGTGTTTGCCCTGGTGAAGTGTCCTTGAGCAAGGCAATGAATCTCGTGCAGTTCCAGGAGAACTGTTCTGGAGCCGACCCTGACCTTTGATCTCCCTGCGGAGGATTACTGGTTCCAGCAAGGACCGAAAAATATCACAATTACTAGCAGTATTATGACAAGGTGCGTTCCATGTACAGTCACTGATGCATTGGACATCTTTAGGTCAAAGCTTGACTGTATTTGAAGAACTAATTTTATGATCTAATACTTGATAATCACAGATTAATAAATGATCAAAGGGATCTGTGGATATTTTAATAGATGTGCAAAAGCAATATATTTCATAAGATTCCACTGTTCTGTGATTTGTAAATTATAAATTTTATTGTTCAACTGTAATCTTTATCATGAACCTTTAACAGCCACAGGATATTGTTCAATACATTGTTATTGAATTTTAATTATTCTCATGTGTTGATAACAACCTAAAAAATCCAGTATTGTTCTGACTCTATGGTAAATCCGTAGAAAGCATTAGTGTACTTCACTGATAAGAAAGAGAAGAACAGAACAGAGATCTGGTTTGCTTATCAAAACACGACACTGAAAGGTCGTGGTTAGTGTTCACATTCTGTTTATCCATGAAGGTTATTGAATGATACACTATCAGCCATTGTATCAACATGGACTATTGTCGGTGTATGAGATACACTTTGGTTTTGAGTGGGGGAAAAAATTCATGCGTCAACTGCTGACACAGCAAGGGAACTGGATAACTTGTAGAGAGACACAGACAGTACCACAGATGAGACGCATTAATGACAGAGATTACTGGGCTATGATCAGTTAAAGTGTTCACTATGATGCAGCTTGAAAGCGAGAAAAAAGAGAAACATGGCAGCCGACAGATGGACAAAGTGGAGTCGTAAAACAGGCAATGCAAAAGGTAAATAAGAGATTAAAGAAACGGGAGACAGAAGGAAGAAAGACAACTTTCTGGAGGCATTTTACCAACATCTCTGTGAACACACAGCAGGGTTAACTGTCAGTGTGATGAAGAGAGCCCTGTCAGTCAGGCCAATCACATCTGATTGGTGCTCATGGGTGGCAGACTGGTGACAGGCAGCCAAGAGACGCAGGCGACACTCATCAGCATGCCAGCTAAAAGAGCAGTTTGCGTGTGTGTGTGTGTGTTTATGTGTGTGTGTGTGTTGTACAGATAAGAGGAACTGACAGCTTACAGCTGGGGGTAAGGGCTGTGTATATGTGTGTGCGTTTGTGTGTGTGTGTCTCATGTCTGACGCAGTTAGATATCTTAACTATGCTAATGAGAGATCAGCAGAGAACGATTGGGGAATTTCATGCTGATTTTGTGCTGTCAAGGTGACACACCATGCAGGGCTAAGCTCTGACACATACACACACCTTGTCGCACACACACGTGCACACTTGCATAGTCTCATACAAATACACATAAGTACAAACAAACATTAAGGAACATAACTCTGCGCCCTGAATTTGGACTCCTATCTGCTGCGGCGCCCTTGAAAATCAACTTTCTCTCCATCTTATCAGGCCTTCGTCCTTCACATAGGCCCCCCTCCAAATCAACTGTACAGCCTGTTAAAAGCAGTTTGACTTGTGAGCCACTGGTGCTGAGCGCTCTCGCCAGACACCTTTAATCTAAAGCAGAGCACACTGGGCTGACTAACCAGGCCTTCAGTTGATAGAAGACAGAACAAAACACACTGTTTCCTCTTTCAAGACTGCTGCATTAGTCAGGCTGGTCTGTGTCTGTGTGCGTGTGTGCATCAGGCATTACATCATTGTCTCGCTGCAAGTTAAGAATAGCCCCGTCAGAGCTGGCGCTGACTTATTGGGAGCAGTACAATCCAAAGATATTACTGTAGGTCTATCCATGTGGGAATATGATGACCTCCTTACGCTATAGATGAACTCAACTTCTCTCTCATTTCTACATACACGGCCCCTCTAGGGCTCCCATACAGCTGAAATCTCCAACCAGTAGCTCTGTGGCCTTTGTGTGTGTGTTCTGCAACACTCGGTGCTGCGTGTCCCTCCACGGCCTCAGTGTGCTGAACGTGACTGCTCATGTGTGCACTTTGCAGCAGCCAATCGTGGGCGCACTTGTCATCCGTATCAGGACGCACCTTCTGTTAAGACCCTCTAAAGGCTTCACCAGTGGGGATGAGATCTCGTGGGGACATATTAAGGCGTCGCACACGCCTGGATGCACAGTGAAGGAGCACCAGAGGGACGGTGTCATGCTTTTTCTCTTCCCCTGTTGGTGCTGTCTGCATGGATAAGGGGGTCTCCTGATCACATTTTTTGGACTCCGGAGGTGTCTAGACAAACACACTTACACTGACACACACGAAGATGCACGCAGCGCAGACATGAAACGCAGTCTTACCTGGGACATCGATTATTTTCTTGTACACGTTCAAGAAGGCGGCCTCTGCTTCTTTACTTCTCTTACTCAAGGCATCGATCTGCAGGGAGAGAGAGAGGGAGGGAAAAAGAATAGTTAATTGTCTGTTACACAACCTCAGAAACTGGGTGTCACATCCATACACTCCAAAGGAAGGCCCATTAATTTCACAGTAAGAGTCGTCTATATATCTGTCTTTCCTCACTATGTGTCGGTATGCTGAATGCGATCGCGGTTGTCTTGACAGTGGCCGCGTTGGTGTTTCCTTCCCGTGAAGTCAGTTCAGCTGTTCAGCTGATGACTGATGCGTTTCGTTTGCCGCGTGCCCGTGCGTATCCGCGTCCGTCTGTCCTCCAGTGTGTGTGCCTAACTTCGTCTGTCCGTCGGTTTGTGTGTGTGCGTGTGCGAATGTGTGTGTTCGTTTCCCCTCCAGCACGCTGACATCATTAAACAGCTGGCTCAGTCTTTCCAGCCACAGCAGGGGCAGATTATTCAGTCAGCTCTTAGCAGCAATACAGTGTGGATCCATTACTGATGCAGCCATTAACACAAGAGGGCACGGCATGCATTCCATCACCGATATTATTGAAATGGACAGCATTAGATTGGATCCATAAGAGATTAATTCTAAAAATGATACTGGGGGAACTTTTACACTGTTTTCAATGCTGAAACATTAGGCAGCATGCTCTACTATAGTCTCTGTGTCACACTTCAATATGAGAAGCAGACAGAGTAGGCGAAACGCATCTGAAATCAAGTCTAAATCGAGGGAAACAGATGCCAAATAAAGACATTCAGAGGGTGCTACTGTACTGGGCAGAGCTACAGCTGACTACTCTGGCTCACGCACTCAGACTAAACAGCCTTGTGTTTCTCTTCCAACTCCTCCAGCACATTCACTGAGAGAAAGGGAATAAAGACAAAAGCCTATATAAGTCCAAATATAAAGTCTTCACATTCCCAGCCAAGCCAGTAGTGTAGTTGATGGGTGGTTTAGGGGTTCTTGCCACTGTAAACAGAGCGGGCTACATGTAATACTGCCTGGGCTCCTATGGGAACCTAATAAATCTCTTCACATGGCTTTGATTCATCTCTAGTTTTTTAGCCGCAAAACATCTGGCCCTGAGTAGGCTGGTGCCAGCACCCCTCCCTCTCTCCCCCCCACCCTTTATTTCTCTATGTCTTTCTCTCAGTCTCTCTCTGTGGAATTCTCCCTCTTGTCACTTCCATGTTCTCTGACTCATTTTTTTTCTTTCCCTCAATCTTTTTCAGTGTCAGTCTTTCTCACATGCTTCTGTGTCACACACTTCTGTCTATCTGGCATGTACAGGGCTCCTGTCTCTCTCCCTTCCTCTCTCGCACTCACACACACACACACGCGCACACACACTTCCCTACTACTATATCTCATTCTCACATCATGCTGCATCATGTACTTTACCCTCTTCATGTGCTGTGTGACATTGAGCGATCAGGATCCTCAAATGCAAGGCCACTAATGGGAGATTACTGATGCTGAGTACTAATACCTCTCACACACCAAAACCAGACCTGTTCATCAGTGTCGACATGTGTGTTCACGTGTGTATATATTTAAGACTGTGTGATCAGGGTACCACCACATAATCTCATGATAAAGAAGAAACACACACGCTCACAAAACCAACGCAAAAATGATCTGCCGATGGCAGCGAAGGAAGCTGGCTGCGTGACTGTACAATGACTGGGCCAAGGTCAGTGGTACAGCAGCTTTATATAGCCCAACATGGGAGGCAGGAAATAGACATTTAATGTAGGACACACCCTACAGTTAGAGGCAGGTTAACTGCAGGACCAGAGCCATTAGAAGACCACCCAGGATTTGCAAATACAATCCTGCTGTTCCAAACTGCAGCTCTTTCAACCAATCCCAATGACATCTGCTATTACATGCTCCCCTGCCCCCATCCCACACACGCACACACACACACAGACCAAGCAAAACAAATGAAGTGACACAAATGATACCTCACCAGTATCAGTAGGTTACCGATGAGAAGTGCTTGCAATTGCAAAAGGTATCCCTGACACATCCACACACACAAACACATACGTACATACGTCAGCACCTTGTGCCACCATCACTCAGCACCGCCTCGCTCCCCTATCTAACCCATAGTGTGTGAAGGGCATCAGGCTGACCTGCGTGTGTGTGTGCACGTGTGTGTATGTGTGTGTGGCCCCAGTGGAGTCTGATAAGGGGAGGCTATGGGAAGCAGAGACTGAAGCCTTGGATAATGGAAAAGCTTATCTGATCGATGGACCAACAAGGAACACTGAGCATGCAACATACACACACAAACACACACACACACACACACACACACACACACACACACACGCACGCACACACACACATAACCCGTTTACCAAACTGAGGCCTTGTGGAAACAGTACTGTTATTGGTAATAATTATGACCTGAGGGCATCCACCTTTCAATGACAAAGATTAAACAGAGTATCAAGACCTCCAAGTTCCTGGGATAAAACTTTTTATTGTGCGGCCCGGGTTCTACATTCACTTAGTAAAGATTCAAGCTCCGAGGGTAAAATGCTTAGGGATGAGTTACTGTGGGACTTTAACAGGAAGACCCTCTGGTTTCTGGTGCTGTCTTGTCCTTGATCAAAGCACGGCGGGGTAAGCAAACAAAGACAGGCTAAAATTACACATTCTCAAAGCTACTCATGTTGTGGCATGCAAGCGCGCAAAATAGTCGACTGATTGATGGGCTGCTCTAAGACTGGCGCGGGTGTACAGTATTATCTCAATAATCATAAGATAATGTCTCTCTCAGTTCCGCGACCACCCACTATGTGCCTCAGCGTGTTCTGGTGTGCACGCCGTCGAGGTGTGTCAACATGAGGATGGTGGAAACAGCTGACAAAGCCGCAATTATATTGCTGCCGTTTCTATTCTCTAAATAGACTGTGGATCATCAGCAGAACATGGTGGGACCACTATAAATTACAGCATTTTTACATAACCACTGGCTGTGGTTGCTGCTCTAACACAAGAATATGGAAACTAACCCAGTGTTAAACTGTAATATTCTATGGCCAGTAGCAAAGCAGCCCTGTCACTATCTATTGAGATGATTCTGTTTGCGTGCATGTGTGTGTCCATGTGTGTGTCCATGTGTGTGTGTGCGCTGGGGAAGAGACACTGTTGGGCTAAATGTCCACCCACTCCAACCCCAAATAACGCCCCAGTCTAAACCAGCCGTTTCCACTCCTACCCTCTGACTTTCACATATGGGAGTGAACTGGAAATGCATGGCTGCCAGAAAGGAGGAGTCATGATGGAAATAGGCCAAAATGATGGAGGAGGAGATAGAGGGGAACGGTGGGAGTATGATATAGCACGCACGCACGCACGCACACACACACACACACACACACACACACACACACAAGTCACCTCTTATAGGTCAAGGTACATCGAAACCTAGGGCGCAACATTAAATTGAAAGTAAATAAATGAGCCACAGTGAACAAAACTGGCTCATGATTCACCAGATCAACAAATAACCCCACCGAATCATGCAGACAAACAAAGTCTGAGGAAATAGCATTCGGTGAGTTGTGACTGGCTAGAGCCGGGGTTTTGTGGTGCCTTTTTTTTTTTTTGCAGGATGCAATTTAAACACACCCTCGGGCTACAGGACTTCATGAATAGGACAGAAAATCAAGAGCAGAGCAGAGCGAAGAAAAGAGGGAGAGGAAAGAGGGGAAATGAGATAGTGGCAAGAGGGAGAACAGGAGATGGCAGAGAGAAGAGAGGAGGGAGAGAAGTGAGAGAGAAGCGATGACGATTTAAGAGGAAAGACGAAGGCGGAAAAAGGGGAGAGAAGGGGCACAGAGAGGGAGCAGGACCAGTCGACGAATGTCAAACAGGCTTTATAAAATGCACTGTTTGAATGTTGAGCTGGAACATGTGAGTCAATCACTGTGTCAATATGAAGTCCCAATAACACACTCACCTCTCCTTGGAAGCTCTTAAGCAATGGGGCGACCTGTTTCCGGAAATCCTAAAAAAATAAAGAGAGGAGGAGGTTAGTAATAGGGACTCTCAAAATTGAGAAAATCAACAGTTAATACATAGGAAGATGTGGCAGTAACAACTCATACATGCACAAAATTCTCCAGTTTTTCCCTTATTCCTAAAAAAACAATACTCCTACTAAGCTGTTTCCATGGCTGATGAAAATAAATATTGCGTTAATATTCCCGTTTACACGCAGCCATGCATACTCTGAATTACATGCCCTTACATGCCACTATCACAACAAAATATGGAAAAGTAGAACAGCTGGTGCTGCTTGTGCCATTTTGCATGTAATGCATCAAAAGGAGAATTTTTTCAGAGTTTTTCCCTGGTGGCGAACTTGTTCCTACTGTGCGAACACAGTCTCCTCCTTGAATTTTTTTAGCCACCTGCTTGAAAAGGTTGGTGTTGCGATATCTACAAATATCCAAGTCTCTCATAATGATTAAAAGTGGGTGTGTTTCTCATTCTGACCAGAAAAGTGGGGCTTTTCTTTTGAGCATGCGTCTCTACCCCAGCCTTGCAACCTGTTGGCGAGTTGGTATGTTTACAACATATGCATGGCAAAGCACAGAGCTGACCGTAAACAGGCAGGAAGCTGTCTGCAGCAAATTAAAACAATGGAGACACATACACTAACTGTCTCAGCTGGAGAATGCTAAATTTGGGAAAAAGCCTAATTCGGAATATCCAAATGTAATATGCTGTTCACTTGACCTGCATCGTATTCAAAATATTGTCATATTGGGAATAACAGTGGAATATTAGTGTGCATGTAAACATAATGACTAATGTTCAGAGGCAGTGAAAACCTACTGAGCAGACCACATGATCAAAGAAGTCAGTCACTGAATTCAAGCAGCGACCACTCTCGCCACTGCCGATGAATAATGAGTGATGCGTGAGCGAGTGATGAACATGAGGGTAGTAGGGAGGAGGCCAGGTTTGTACCCTGAGGTGCTCTGGCGGACTGTGTTTCTCACAAGAACAGGTGCAGCACCACCTGGGCCACCCAGAGGCACCACTAGTGCGTGTGAGACAGAGAGTGAATGAGCCACAGAGTAGGACTACAGTTAATGCAAATTGTCTCCACGCACCAAGTTTTTACTATAAAGCAAATGCTTTTCGTCCCGCAAGTCCCATTGCATGACTTTCCAGTACGAGTCAGCGGTTCGGTTTTCAGATTAGATAGCCAGTCGAGTATGTATCAGGGGAACATGCAAATCACCATGCTGTTAGCTGAGCCTACATCCTGACAAACTGCACTGAAGCGTACGGTAAAAAGCATGGCAGAATAGGACATTCTGTACAGGAACATTTGATTTGCACAGTTTGTGGACACACACACAACACAAAACTGCCTAATAAAGATGTGAAGTAGGGCACCGACAGATGTGTGCTCGAGAGACTCTGCGCCTTTTAGAAAACCTCCGCCTAAAAGCCTAACCGATGCTGCGGGGAGCGTGCATCCCAAACTGACCTGGGACCAGTGTCTGGGGCTGGGCCTAATCCCAGGTTGGTCCAGACAGGCTGCTTGTCTGGGGCTGAGGACAGGTCATGACCTCAGTGACCCTGCCCCATTGTTACCTCATCAGGGGTCGTTGTAGCTGTTTGTCTGGGCCAATTCAATATTCCCCTGCTGGGGATAATGACCTCCACCCCGCCCCCAGCCCCCCTCCTCTGCCTTGGCTCTCCCCTTCTCACACACACACACACACACACACACAGGACAAGCATGCGCAAGGAAAAAAAAAAAAAACACACCCACACAAAAACACCAGAGTGGCGTCAGCTCTGTCATTTGCATTAGATTTTGATTATATCCTAATTTTCCATTCAGTTTCCTTTCAGTTAGTTTTTAGATGACCTGCACTAGTATCTGTTGGGATAAATACAAAGGTGTTTTTCTGTTTTTCTTATCTTATTTCACTTTAGCTCCCACTATTTTGTCAGAGCCAAGCAAAATATGCTCAAATGTGTCTGTAGTATTAGTGTAAATCAGCGTATAAAACCTTTTCATTTCCCTATTTTACACTTGCAGTGTGCCATTATCACAGTGGCTTGAAACATATGTAAATATTTATGACCAAAAAAAGAACCCTCTGTATAATGTAATGCAGTCTACTCCTGTAGTCCTGCAATAATTACTACCTTTGTACAAATCATAACGTTCAACTTTTGTTGAGACTGCATCTGCATGACGTGCTGCCTCAACACTGCCATAATAGTCTGAAGTTGCTGTATTAATCTTTTTTGAACGTTTTAGGCAGAATTAATTAAATTCCTGATGTTATTTGAGTTTAGACGTTTATCCTCTCATCTTGCATTTTTGTAGTCTAAGTTTTGGGGGTTGACTAAACACTGCAGTTTGACAAGCTTGCGCACACACACACACACACGCACACACACTTCCTTACGAACACACACATTAAACCTACAAAAACAAACACATTTAAATAACCGGCAGAGTCGAGCCACTACTTTTGCTCAACACCCGAGCTCTGAACCCCTTTGGACCACTCTCTGGCGCTCCGCCCCTCTGCCCCCTCCACTTCTAAAGATTTATGACCATATAACATAACAATGTACACAGACACCATGGTCAATCTGTGTGTATATGTGTGTGTGAGAGTGTGTGTAGCGAGGGGAGTGGAGGGGGTCAGGCAGCAGGAGATGGATGGCTGGTGTGTGAGCTGCCGGCAGACAGCAGACAGGCCAGCCCGAGGAATCCTCCGGGGAGTATGGAACTCCCATTCGCTGTCTGTCTGCCCTGCAGCTAAACACAAACGTGTGTATGTGCATGCGTGCGCACACACACACAAGCACACACAAAGTTGTTTTACTACCACTGCCTCTGGCTAGCAATCTTTGGGACATTTTACAACCATTCCCACCCTTGCCTTTATAACAGTGTGGTAGAAGAGTCTTGACTAACTAAAAGGAAATTAAGAAGTGGATGAATAATTCAGGCAACTTAGGAAGCACAGTGAGATGTAGTCTCAAAAAAAAAAAAAAATCAACAGTGTGTCAGTCCTAATGAATTATGAAAACTTTGTTTTCACGCTGCATTTCTTTGCACTACTTTCAAAATGCTACAAAAGCCTGCGTGTGTGTGTGTGTTATTATGCAGACCATGAGTGCAGTTCACACCGAGTACAGCTCAGCAGACTAGACACAGTCAACGTGGGCCGGTCTCCTGGTTGTTGAATAATGGATCAGAGACGGACTCCCGCTCAGCCTAATGCAGTCTGATCTGATGTGACTGTGATCTCCGCTGACTGGTGCAGACCACAGAGAGCTGACAGCCCGCTCTATAGGCTGGTCAGCCACATGCACACGCACGCACACACTCACACACACACAAACACACACATACACATACACACAGCCACGCAAGAGACAGAAAACACAGCTCTGCGAACACACACAAGACGATCGGGGCATTTTTAATCAAGCGCGGGCCATCACACGTTATGAACCAGCCTATTTGGTAGGCAGCCTTGATGCTCATACACCTCGAATGCCGGGATTTTTAGTGCTGATTCCTATTGAGCCTGTTACAGCCCTGTAATGAATCCTGTCGCTCGTCTGGCCTGGCTCAGATTCCTCCTCCACATACCAGGGAGATGCCAGGGGCCACACAGACGCCAGAGGAGCCTTCCTAAATCACAGCCTTGTTACACTGATGAATGTGTGTGTCCTGTTCTGTGATCTAGGCTATCTGCCTCTGTGTGTTTGTGTGTGCGCCTCTGCTTCTCTGCATGTTTTCTTTGTGTGTGTCTCTCTCTCTACCTCGGTGTGTGCGTGCGTCTGCCTCGCCTCCTGTGTGTTGCTAGTTATGTGGTTATACTTGAAAATGAGATTAGAGATGAATGTGTAGGGTAAAGTGAAATTAGCATCTTCTGTATGCAGGTACAGTTTCCTCTGGTGTATATTCCTCTACACCGGATGGGCTACAAGCTGAAGTCAATAGTCACAATCCTCATCCTGTGGTAACTATAATAGGCCTACTGTCAACTCCACCGAGAGTTGACAATTTTCTATCCACAGTCTACTCCATTCATACATAATTCATACTACCATCAATAATTCACCATGGTGACATTACCAATAATAACACAACAATACTTTGTTTTCGCTGTGTGGTTTAAAATGTGTTGCCTTGGTAACAGAGATGAAACAAATATTCCCAGGAGGAGTGATGGGAACACAGGAACAGGACAGAATTCCCTCCTGATCCCACTTAGTAGTGTTGTCACACTCTTTCTTTCTCTCCCTCCTGCTCTGCCTCTCTCTCATTTCTCTCTCTCTCTCACATACACACTCACGGACCACACTTTCCGCACGCATAAAAAACTAGGTCAGATAATACAAACTCCTGAGGGGTTTTCTGTTTTGTCTCTTTAGGATTTCAGGGAAACTAATGGAGAGACTATTTTTGGGAGCCAAGCCCGCATCTCTGCGCCGTCTACTCCTCCCCTGCTTTCTCAGTAAATAATCACAGCTACATTTATGAAGAGGAGAGGAGACGCAGAGAAACACTGAGGCAAATCAGGATTGTCAAAAGAATCGCGGGATGTATGCGTGGCTGTGTGTTGGTGTGTGTCTGTGAATATCTGATTTTCTCACCTCTGGTGTGTTCTTCTTGAACTCGCGGCTCAGGTCGATTAGTTTCTTCCTGGACTGTTCACTCTCGTCCTGTCTGTTGGCAAGCTGTGTGGCGGTGGCGTCTAGTTCTTTCTGCAACACAAACAAACAACTTTTTTAGTTTTAGCTGAGAACAGAGTGGCACATTTTATCATACTTGTCATTACTGTCTCTGTTATTATAATCAGCATCATTGTTATCATTCAGAATAAAAAAAGACAGGAGCTGCTTTCTGACTAGACAGCAGACTCCTTGACCCATCTGGCGTGCTGCAGACTACCCGTCCTGCCTCAGCTGAACTTGGCCAGTGTGTTGCAGCAGCAGAAGCAGAGAGCAGAACCGCAACACCGATGTCCCGCCAAGGAAAACCCAGCTCCACCAGTAGTTTGATCTGCTACCAGCGCAAGCAATATCTGGAGCTATTCAGCCTGTCAGTCAATCAGTTACCACTGTGTCGGGCATGACAGCTTATGTAGCAATAGACTACTAGTACTACTGCGTGCACAGTTCACAACAATTATTGACTGTCTGCACCAGACGACCCCTCCCCTCCCCACATAACAACAGCACAATTATCAACAACAGCAGTGTTGTCAAGACTGAGGCAGGGCCCGCCTTTATCCACATCCATTTTGCATTGTTATTAATAGCTATTTATGGGACTTGTTCCAGATGATGGGCCAAGTGCTGACATTAACAAGACGTTCAGGCCTTGTAAAGATTGTATCTCTCTCTGCTGAGTGTGTGAGCGTTGCTGGATTATGTTTCTGTTGGATTCTTGCCTCCTGTCACGCTCACTCCTTTTTCCCCCCTCATTTTTCCGTACTCCCTGCAGATCATCCGCTCACTCATTCAACCAGCAGTACCTTCTCCTCCGTTTAAATCGCTCTCCTCTCCCTTTACTCCGCCTCCCCCTTTTCTTCTGCCCCCTCCCATCCACCTCCTGTGAGGCCGCCCACCCCTGAGAGTGATTAAACGCTGCTGAAGGGCCGTTATGCTAACTAACACACTAATCATTTAATACACACATTACCACAGGGGCCCTTGTGGCTCAGTCTGCTGACAAGGTCCCAAAACACACTCACGCACACATGCCCACCTCCCCACCTCCCCACATCGCCCACACCCCCGACGCACACAAGAAAATACAACCCTCTAAAGAAATAGTGCGATCAAGTACTAATTAGGAGATTTTTCTCCCGTCAGCATTAAGTTTAATTCCCTGACCAGCCGTGATCTCGTTTTATCCACAAACCATAAAAAATATAACAAATGTTAGTCGACTGTCCTCTGCAATGGATTTTACGCAGCAGCACAGGATGTTCAAAAAAAAGAAAAAGAAAAAAGACTGCTCACTTGCTTACATGCCATCTTGCTCTCGCTGCCCATGGAGCAGTTGATGTAGCAGCCTGTCTGCCCATGGCCATGGAGCAGCTGCACTATCTGTTAGTGAATTCGAGCGTGCGCAGAAGCCTGTGCAACGCCTGATGAAAGGAGGAACCTTATAAATTTTAATCATGTTAAATTAATTGTCAAAAAATGAATGCTCTAGTTCATGAATGGAGGTGTAATTATTATATTGGTAAGGATTAGCTACAGGAACAAGAATATAAGGCCCAGTTGGTTCGAGATACTAACATCAAATTTGGTAGATATTAATCACAATTTGACGTATTAGGCCTTAAGGCTAATACATCTTGAATCATTTAAATATAATGACTCACTGGAACACTTCGGTTTCAAGCCTGATCAGAATTCAGTAGGCAGAAGCAGCAATCAGGACAAATTTAGGTAAATCCCAAAAGCAAAATATAAAATAATGCCGTTAATCATTCAAGTTGTTAAACACGAGGAATGAATTTTTAAAATATAGATTACATGATCTCAATCGCTGCAGAAGCAAAATACGTCAGGAGACCGATAAGTACAGGTTTTTGAATTCAAAGTGTGTGTGTGTGTGTGTGTGTAACGCAACCTCAGGACACAATTAAGTGCATCAACTTAAAAAATACAGCTTGAAAAAGTCCATTAAAACAAAATATATTGAAATGAAGTTTGGTGTGCAATATGTAAAAACATCACGGTCTCTAAAACACTGCTTGTTTCTCTTATGAGAGTTATGGGTTTACAGAAATAGGGGCATAACCGTTAGTCTAGTTAGAAAATATACAGCTCATGTTGTTGCTTGAGTTGAAATATATAACCTTGCAAAAAACACCTTCAATTAAATTTACTAGATTGCTCTTTGATGTGCTAATTAGCCTACGCAAACTTCAAGTCAATTACTTTCAACTTGTTTTCCAAAAGTCAAAGGAATTCAACACAATAATCTATTCACATGAATTGATTAATGCGCCCTGTTTCAGGAGTAAAACTGAAATAACCACAGTCCTCCACTAGAGTTGTGCTTTAGGAGGTCATGTGCCAATCCCTGACGCCCTTGATTCTTTCCAATCCCTTTCCAAAACCCTGCACATATCCCAATGTGTTACCAAATCCCCATTCCTCCCCAAAAAATTCTCACTGCTAAGCTAAATAAACACATCACACATGAAAGAGGATTGATTCAATGCCAAGTGGGCAAGTAATTATGGGCATGGTCTCAGTTTGAAAAAAAAAAGAAAGAAAAAAAAAAAAAAAAAAAAGGACCCTCAGACTCAGTCAGGTTTTGACTATGCAGCAAACTCTCTGCCCACATCAGCAGACACGGGCAGACTTTACACTCATCTTGCTGATAGAGCGTAACATCCAAAAGTGCACATTCCCTGCTGCCTGCCCCTTGTTCACACACTTCAAATCTTACTGACCATTAGGGAACTGATATTATTCCCATTTTAAGCAACGTATGAGCACGATAGGTTGTCATACTTAAGTGCCTTAAGTGAAATACTGGACAAATATGTTTGGGTGTTTGCTCTGCTGAATGCTGTTTTTGTAGGACGTGGGTTCTTAGCAAAATAAAACAGGACTGAACTGTGGTCAATTTACATGTTACGAAATGCAGACCCAAGCTAGAAACACACAGGGGATGCCATTTTTTTCCTTATACCTTTGTTATTTGTTTTGACCAACTATAAAATGGCACATTTGAGGGTTTTTTTACAGGCTTTCTTCAGTTTATAAAACAAACTTGAACCTTCAAAGTGTTGACACAGGTTTGATCCTATGTGCAACGTTTTTTTTCCATAGCCAAATGTGTCTGACTGAGCACTTACATAGGACCAACAGATGCAACTTCCTCACAAGGCGATATTCTTAAGCCTATACAGGGTATAGTAACACAGTTGCACAATTAAAATTGGTTGATATTTACTCTAATGAGATTGTTTAATGTCAATACAGATGACCTGCTTGAATTCACTGCAGTGAGATCTGTCAGTGCCCAATTGGTCCAGCTACCTGATCCTTGCTATAGCACCCACATCGCAGTTTGTGTTACTGTCATGACTAAAGATAGCAAATTAATAGATGGCTAAATTGAAAGATGAAGACGTTTCAATTTTATTGCGTCTGCAATGGTGGCATCTGTCACTATCCATCTGAAGTCATGATGGTGTGCAGACTGGGTAGCTAAAAGGATAGAGCATGTTAGCATGTTTCAGTTTATACAAACAGGTCAGCAGTGCAAACACGGCTTGTAAAATATTGGCAAACTGTTTTTGAATCAAACTAAAGGAAGTCCATATCAATACATCCCTAATTAGACAGACAGACATGTCCAACTCATATTGCATGTTTTTAGCTTACTTACAAACTAGGTGTCAATTATGGCAGGGTTTATTTTAGATATTATTAAGCAGCATCCACGAGCAGCGATTAAATTCAGCTATGCCGTTGGCTTCATCAAGCTCCAAACTTTTGGATGGGAATACTCTTAACTTTAGGCAAGGCTGCTCTACAGGGGCTCTGCCATCTGGCATACCACTGGGACTTTCTTTCTATCATGTTTGACATCAATGATTGACACCATGCTAGTCTGATGAACCTTACAAATTAACATGTTTGACAAGGAGCCAAGACATGAGGAAACTAATTAACAAAATCCAACAACATGCAAATTAGGGGGGGGATCTATATTTCACAATGCATGGCTAATGTAATGACAAGAAATATAATTAATTGCAGAGGCAAAGTGCAAATACCAGCACTTGTGTGGATGCTTGAATGTAGTGCCTGCAGTGCACCACAGAGCACCAAATAACATGCATTAGGTACGTGTGCACTCTGTGCTTGGGCCTTCAGGCTTGGTCTCTGAGGTCAACACTCTTTGGCTCTCCTTGGCCTGACTTTGAAATGTTTTACTTTTCAAATCTGGAAACTGTTTAATTTACTGGTGAATTAATTCATTTAACCATTTCACATTAACTGCTGCACTATTTTTAAATCTGGCTATGGCTGGTTAGGACTGCACTGTCTAGTTTAGCAGAGGATGGAATATGGTGTGTGCAGGGGAGCATTAAGTAGGCTGTAATGTCTGTGTGATTGCTGTAACAGCCCTGCTTGGCTTGGCTGGACTGGCCCACAGCAGCAGTCCCTGTCCTGGTTCATTTGGTCGTCTGGTCAGCTGTAAAGACGATTGGAACAGATTGCCAACACTCCCTAGAGAGACTTCAACACCGACTTGGCCAAGAAGCCTCCCGCACACTGCTCCACACGCGTGTGCTCTCACATGAATGCACAGACAGGCCGCTGCAGTAACTTGGGGAGCCCAGTCTTTCCACATTCTTTTGAACTCTGTTTCAAAAAGAGGAAGTCTGCTAACATGTTCGCCCAGCGAAATTTGGCATGGTGAGCTATGTTTGCAGCTAGGAGGGGAGGATGGGCCAAACGGAAATGACTATATCTCCGTCCTACAACTGTGGTAATAATACTAATCACTGATAACAGTCACGGGTAAACAAATCCTATTACCACTGGCCATCAGACCCAAGGTGTATGTGTGTGTTCATCTCTCCTAATGAAATTCCTTCCACTCGTCTGCAGGCAGAAAGAGGCCTTCTATCTGACTAATTCGCTCTAATTACTCTAATGAGCCACAGGTGATGATACAGTGAGACTGATTAATTAAATGGGAGGCACCAATCAGGCATGTC